GGGGTTCAGCGGGCTCAAGCTGGCCTGCCCACACCCCCAAGTCCAGCTTCCTCTGGGAACCTGGCTGTGTACTCCAGTGAGGGGACTTCCCCTCTGGGCAGCGGGAAGGTGACAAAAGAGCCTGCCTTACTGATGGGGAGTGGGACTCCAGGGGGTTTCCTGACAAGGGCGCAACACCAGGGAGGCCCTCCTGCCTCTGCCCTCCAGTCCTGCCGGGACTTGACAGAACCTGCATGAAACAAAAGGCCGAGAGCCTCTGGATGGCAGCAGCAACAGCGTGTCTCAGAGGAGGTGTGCACCAGGCGGTCTCTGGGACTCCACGGAGGGCTCTCTGTCCTGTTGGACAGAGCTGGCCCTTAGCGGTTTTCCATCACCTGGTGGACATCATCCCACCAGCCAGAGGTGGGAGCACCTGGTGCCTCACGAGGCAGCCAGTGCACCTGACAAGGGTATGAAACCCTGGTGGGGAGGCAGATGGGAGGCAAGGGGGAGGACAGCCTCAAGGTTAGAGACCTGCGGTACTCTTTTTCTTTTTTTAAAGATTTTATTTATTTATTTGAGAGGTAGTTACAGACAGTGAGAAGGTGAGAAGGAGAGGCAGAGAGAGAGGTCTTCCTTCCATTGGTTCACTCCCCAAATGGCCACAATGGCCAGAACTGTGCTGATCCAAAGCCAGGAGCCAGGAGCTTCTTCTTGGTCTTCTATGTGGGTGCAGGAGCCCAAGGACTTGGGCCATCTTCTACTGCTTTCTCAGGCCATAGCAGAGAGCTGGATAGGAAGAGGAGCAGCCAGGACTAGAACCGGCGCCCATATGGGATGCTGGCGTTGCAAGCGGAGGATTAACCTGTGCCACGGCCCAAGACCTGCGCTACTCTTTTAAAAAACCTCTCTAATAAATCTAACTTCCCTCTGTGCCTTAAGGAAATGTTTTGATAGGATGTGAAGGATTTATGGTAAAAACGGCCTCCTTGAAGATTCCCGAAGGGCCCGGTGCTTTCTAACTTACTTGTCACTCTCAAGAAAATGCATTTAAAAGGGTGTAAGGTTCCTAAAATTTTAGTTGTGTTCCTTGAATTATTCTGATCTTTTTGATCTAGAAACTACACCCGAAGGTGGCCTTTCACACCAAGCATGAAGGCCCATGTACATTTTGCCTGGTTGAGTAACCTCCCAGGAAGCCAGTTAGGGCTGCAGATGCAGAAAAACAAATGTTCTTTAAGATTAACAGCATCACAGATGTGCTTTGGGCAAATCCAAGCCCATAAGCAAGAAGATGAGAAATCAAGGATTCTAAGCTGCAGGCTGATTTGCGTTGCTTTTACTTCAGTTACTTTCAAAAAGGGAACATTAGAATAAAAGTATTTATAGATTTCACTCTGAGAAATTAGAACATCTGTATGTTGCAAAAATTTCAGTGATTTTTTTAAATAAAGTCATTTCAATTTTAATGCAGTGTACTTCAATAAGGTCCAAAAATATCAAAATAGAAAATAAAATTAGTATCAGTTCTGTGTCACAGAGACAATCATTTTAACTTAGCAAAGAGTTTGTCTCCACTTTCAAATTATTATCTTCTAACAAATTCTTCTTTCACTGAGGTGTATCCTATAGTTGTATATCATGTTTTAAAAAAGGGGAAAAGTTATGAATTTCCATTACTAGAGGTGGCAGATTTTGTTTCTTGTCACCAAAGAGAAAATTCTTTGATCCCTGAAACTGTTTTACTTGCTGGACAAGAGAGGGCAGTCATGTATTTCACATATAATTGTGATAAATTTTTCAGCTGTTAAAGAAGAGAAAACGATTCTTAAAAAGGATTGGAAGGAATATAAAATTAATGTAAAACATTGATACAAACATGCCATTTTTTATAAGTAAAAGCAAGCAGAAAAAGTGGATTTGGGGACGATTACCATATAAATCACTTTAAAGGGATTTTGACAAGCAAATTCAAATAAGAACAGACATAAAAATCCTTTTCCACTAAACCTGATTTAATTCAATCTGAAATAAGCAACCATTTAAAAGTAATGCTCACTGTTGGAGAGGGATGAGAAAGCCCTTTTTAAAGACAAAATTTGGCAGGAGCTAGATTTTGGCTCCAGAGAATGATGTCCTCTGACCTATAACACGGATTCAGAATTCCCAGAATTTATGACTGAATGATCGGGGTGCACTCAGGTCAGTTCCAAGGAGAGGCTGAGCGCATCCCAGAGACTTGGGCCTCAACTTTCTGCGTGTGTAGAGGGCTGATGGACAGTGATGTCGCGGGCCAGGGTGGCTGGAGCCACGAGGCTCTGGTGCTTACTGCTGCCGTCACTTCCTGCTACCAGGGCCCCTATCCAGGCTGTTCTGCAGAGGACCCTAGAGCTTTGCAAATGGCAGTGCTTAGACCCCCTGAAATCTTTCAGCAGCTGCTTATTTAATGTGAAACCCCAGGAAAGGCCTCCAGGAAGATTCTCCCAGGGGACCTCAGAGAAAAGGAGCCTGGGGTGGGGTGGGGGAACAGCTCCTTATCCAAAGATCAAAATGCAGGGCAAACAGCCAGGAATCATCAGAGGCTTCAAAGCAAAGAAAGAAATCAGACATTTTTTCCCCAAAGATAAGGGATTGCTCATTATAAATGTTTTCACAAGTATGTGGTTCAGAGCGGGAGGACAAGTCATGACTTTTGCTGCCTTGAAACATCTTGCCTCTTCTAAGGGCAAACGCCCACTGGACAGTCACTTGCAAGACAGAGCTCTCCCCCCAGCCAGGGTCAGGCTTCTCCAAGCCCTGGTGCTCTGCAGGGCTTGATGGGTCTATACATCTGATCTTGTTGCTTATTGATCCTTACACGATTCTCTTAGATTGTCCTAACAACAGCCATTATGTCTGACACATTATCGATGGGAAATGAAACTCCCAACAAAAGGCAGCTGGCCCTATTGTTGGGTAGGAATGTGCAAGCAGGGCCTGTGTATTCACACAGGGCGAGGAGAAAGGGAGGGAATGCAGGGCAGAAGTGACTCAGCACGCAGTGAGAGCTTGCTAAGGGTTCATCCATGACACGCGGTCGAGAAAGAAGAGACGTCCAATAGGCTTGGGACGGAATCCAAGGGATAGTCTCTGTGGGCAGCCATTCTCAGCCTTTCATCTCCAAATCCCTACCTTTACCTAAAGCTCTTAAAAACCAGACCAACATGTGGCATAGTCGATTAAGCCATCAGAATCCCACGTTGCAATACCAGTTCCAGTCCATCCGCTCTGCTTCAGATGTAGCTCCCTGCTAATGCGCCTGGAAAAGGAGCAGCACATGGTCCAAGTACTTGGGCCCTTGCCACCCATGTGGGAGACCAGGATGGAGTTCCTGGCTCCTGTCTTTGGTCTGGCCCAACTCTGGTTGTTGTGGGCATTTGGGAGTGAATCAGAGAATGAAAGATCTATCTCTCTTTCCCTGTCTCTCTCTCACCCCCTTTCAAATAGATAAATCTTTAAAAATAAATTTAAAACTCTGAGAGCTTATGTGGGTTATTATTTGTCTAATTTATTTTAGAAGTTAAAAGTGAAAACAAACATTGATTCACTTAAAATTACAGCAGTAAACACTTTATTATTAAAAACTGTATCCTGGGGCTAGCACTGTGGCATAATGGGTAAAGCCACAGCCTGCAGTGCCAGCATCCCACATGGGCACCAGTTAGAGTCCTGGCTGCTCCACTTCCGATCAAGCTCTCTGCTATGACCTGGGGAAGCAGTAGAAGATGGCCCAGGTTCTTGGGCCCTTGCATGTGCTTGGGAGACCTGGAGGAGGCTCCTGGCCCCTGGCTTTCGATCGGCATAGCTCCGGCCATTGTGGGCATCTGGGGCGAAACCAGCGGATGAAAGACCTCTCTCTCTCCCTCTCTCTGCCTTTTCTTCTCTCTCTGTGTAACTCTGACTTTCAAATAAATAAATAAATCTTTTTTTTTAAAAAAAACACCTATATCCCTCCTCAAATTAGCATGCGTAGAATTGGTTTGCACTTTTTTTTTTTTAAGGTCTGGCTTATAGAAGTCATCCATGGTTGTCCATGCTATTAAGGAACAGCTGCTCCCGGCTGTTGTGGCCAACTGGGGAGTGAACCAGCAGAGGGAAGACCTCTCTCTCTCTCTCTCTCTGCCTCTCCTTCTCTGTGTAACTCTTTCAAATCAATCAATAAATAAATATTACCAAAAAAAAAAAAAAAGAACGGCTGCTCTGTGGTATCCTCATGGGCCTTGTTGTCATCATTTCATTCTTCTCAGTCACTTATGTATTATCTGTCATCTATATCTGTCTCTCATGTTCATCTATATCTGTCTCCTATCTATCCATCTGTCATCTCTATGGATAGCTATCCTCTACCTATTTATCTTTCTAATGCTTTTTCTCATGTCAGAACCTTCCACCTACCCACGGTTAATTAAGCTTTAGCTTAAATACTGCTAATTCTGAGAATCCTACTCATTAATGAGGCAGGTGCTGTGGCCAGTAGATACTACTCAAAACAATGGCTTGTTTCTCTGAAATTAGAGGTAGACTAAAACTCCTTAAGAACTGACACTGTCTCAAGCAGTGTGTGACATACATAGTATTTTTAATCTTTTTTTAATTTAAAGAATGATTTCAAAATAATCCTATGGATCTGGAGGAAAAGACATTATCTCTGCTGCTTTAAATTCTACTTCTATCAGTGTAGCACTGGGCTGTGGGAACAGGTCAAGTGCGTTATGTGCATCACCACCGTCTCTCCGTTAAACCTTCCCCCTCCTTCAAGACACCGGTCAGGCTACAGCCCCTCTAAACAAGGCGGTGCTGGCCCCTATGTCCAGTAGCAGCTGCTCATCCCCTCACACAGGGTAGCCTACAGCCATTCTACCCTGCCCACTTGGCAGTGTGCTCTGTGCTCACTGCCTGGCGGCACTGGCTGTCAGGCCCCGCACCACGCCTCTCGGGAGCAGCAGCCGCGGGCTCTCGGTGCTGGGCACTCCTGGCACACGGCAGGTGACCACTTGCGATCTGGCCTGGCTGGGTGCTCTGTCACGGGGATCTCAGTCGTCTTCGCTAAAGACTGCTCGGACAAATGACCTCATGCATGCAGAGCTTGCAGTACAGCCTTCGTGAGCTCGCGCCACCAAACCCACGTGGGATAGATAGGCAGGCAGCTAGTTGGGCCTGAAGAACTTGGCGTCACTGTCCGCCCTCCTTCCGATAATGCAGCTGGTAACATCCGGGACCTGCTCAGGCTATAAAAGGAGAGGGGGCGGGGCCCGCGCCGGTCTTTTCTGCCATGGCTGTCGCTTCTCGGCTCTGCGTCGCGGCGCTGACGAGGCTCCTCAGGCGTCTCTCGTTTTCACCCCGGACCTGCTTTGGTTTTCGCTCTGTCCGTCGCGGGAGCCCTTGGCGTCGGTCGGCCGCCCCGGCAAGGTACCACGTTGGGCGGTTCTCCTCCTGGTTTGTGGCCGCGGCTCGGATTTCTCCGTGCAGGGCAGCCCGGCCGGGTAAACTGTTCGTCGTTTGTGAGGGAGACAGAACCTAGGTGAAAAAGGTACGAACCGTCGTCCGTGCCCAGATGAGGTGTGCTTCAGGGAAGCATCTGAGCGAACAGGGACGCGTCAAGGTCACAGCGCCTCGAAGCGTTTGAGGTGGAAGGGAGATCGAGCGTCTGAGGCAGCTGCAAAAACCCCGAGTGCGCATGCCTGCATCCACGTGACTAAGCCCGGAGGCCTAAGCGATGCCGTCGGGGTCTCCATCTCTTGGCCCCGTTTGCTCCTGCCTGGAGAACCCCGGAGCCCAGGGCTGCGTGCTTCCAGCCTGCAGCCCACGGGGAGACGCCGGGTCTCTCGAATCCGCCCCTGACTTCCCAGGGCCGTCACCCTGACTGGCCCAGTGTAGTTCATGTGATCATCCCATGGAATCGTTACTAAAAATAAAATATTGAAATACCACGAGCGATCAGTCCCAAAGCTCTGCCCACTACTGTCCATCACAGGCCAGCCGAAGTCACGAGGGGGAAAAGCTTAGCCGACGTGACGTGCTAGAGGCAGGTGCTGGGCCTTAGTGGATTAAGCTGCTGCTTGAGACGCCCGCATCCCATGTTGGAGTGCGTGATTTGGTCACGGTTCGGAAGCCGCTTCTGGAGGCAGCAGGAGACCTGGGTCGAATTCCTTGTTCCTGGCTTTGACTTGGCTCAGGCACGACTAGTGTGGGAATTTGGAGTTTGAACTACTAGATGGGAGATCTTTCTTTCTTTGTTGCTTTGCCTTTCAAGTGGATGAAGATAAATAAAAATAAATGTTGAAAAAGAATTAGCATAAGTTTTTTTTTTTTGACAGGCAGAGCGAAAGTGAGAGAGAGAGACAGAAAGAAAGGTCTTCCTTTGCCGTTGGTTCACCCTCCAATGGCGGCCGCGGCTGGCGAGCTGCGGCCGGCGCACCGCGCTGATCCAATGGCAGGAGCCAGGTGCTTCTCCTGGTCTCCCATGGGGTGCAGGGCCCAAGCACTTGGGCCATCCTCCACTACACTCCCTGGCCACAGCAGAGGGCTGGCCTGGAAGAGGGGCAACCGGGACAGAATCCGGCGCCCCAACCGGGAGTAGAACCTGGTGTGCCGGCACCGCAAGGCGGAGGATTAGCCTAGTGAGCTGCGGCGCTGGCCCAGCATAAGTTTTAAAAAAGGAACTGAGGTCATGACCAGAAAATCATGAGAAGTGTCAACCATGCCAGAGCTCAGAGGTTTCTCTGTAGTCATATTAAATTGGTTTTTTGATCAATGCAAGAAGTATTTACAGTTGGGTACAAATGAAATATACTGTAGGTTATCAAACAGGAGAAAGATTGGTTTCTTAGGGGACAGGGTGAGGAATAGTCTTTCCTCTTAAAAAAACAACTGGGTCCTAATTAGGAAGAGAAGAGATGCGCATTTCCCAGTGTATTAGCTGTGGAGTGTAGGCAAAAGTTTGAGTCAGTTTTCTCAGTAAAATGAAGACCATATTATATATTCTCACATGGCTCTAGGGAGAAAATTGGATAATGTATTTGAAGAACCTAACATGGGCTTAACATGCAGCCGGAACTTGACGCATGCTAGATCTGTTATTCTTTATCATAAATTAGCTTCCTGCTCCGCCTCCTCCCTCTTTAATGGGAAATAGGGGCCATTGCTGCTTGGCTCTGAGGGGTGAATGGCACCTGTCTCATCTGTACTGTTTTCTATTGCCCTGATCTGAGGTTCCTAACCTGGCTATGAAGTAGAATCACATGGGAGAGAGCTTGTAAACATCTTGGTGCTCAGCTTCACCCAGACAAATGAATCAGGAGTTGGGATGCAGCTTCAGTGTTCGTGCTGCTGTAATTAATTCCCCAGGGGATTCCGGAGCCTCCCAAAGCAGGAGCTCTTCCTCTCAATTCTTTTTAGGTTATGTGGTACATACATTCATGATAAACTGTGTTACTGGTGTTGGCCAGGTTTGGGTTGTTGCTTCACTAACTAGGATCCTTTAGGCCTCTTCCAACCCCACTTCCCCAACCGTGGCTGAGTCAGAAGGGAGGGCCTCTGCCAGGGGCAGCCAGTTTCTAGAGTGAGGGAACCACCTGCTATAGAGAGCATTTCACAAATGCAAACTGGCCGATCCAGAACCCACAGCCCAGCCATGTCCTTGAGTAGATGCCCACACTGTAGCCCGATTCACCTGCCCTAATTACCCCAGGACCAGGTAGTAGACATCGAGGAATAGCTAATGGACCTGAAGGAGCCAGATATGTTGAAACGAGCCAATCCCGTGCTCCCTCACCCTGCCTGGCCTGTTCTGTCCTACAGAGATCCCGTGGAGCCTCTCGCCCACAGTTGCTTCCTCGCTTCCTCTTGGCGGTCCCCTGCGAGGTGCAGTCTGCCTCCTCCTGAAGCTGTGAGTAACCGTTCAGTGGTCATTGTTTCCTCCTGTGGAGCCTCCAGTTTCATGTGAAAATGGTCTTTTAAAGCAGTTTGTTTCAGTTTCCTGAAGGTAGACAGCGAGTACTTGGAAGGACAGGACTGCGTGTCCCTATAGTACTGAACTGTAATTGATACCTGTTACTCAGTTCTAGTTGATTGCATTTAGGATCGATGGTCATAGGAAATCAGTGGGTTACATTGAAAATAATTTACTGGAAATGTTATAGTATTTTTTAAACACCATGAATTGTGATCTGCGTGGTTCTTCAGGAAAACTGGTATAGGACAATGTGAAAGATAAGTGAAGCTTTCTCTGTCCAGTTCTTCCCTTAAATCTCTCATTCGTGGTCCTTAAAACAAGCAAACAACACATCAATTAGGCTTATGATTTGATGTTTTAATAGCTTTTGGGAAACATGTTCTCACCTGCTCTGGAAACCAACACTTCTAGTACAGAGGCCAAGAACGGGTTAAAACCTGGTCACCTCACTAATACCTTTAGTATTAAGAACTCGGTCACCTCATTAGGGCCTTGTTTAGGCCCCAGCAGTTCAGTAATCCGGCAAGGCATTAATGAGGTGGCTGGGTTCTACCACACTTCTGGCTCTCACGAAGCCCAGTGTTTAAGGCAGACTGGGGCATGTTCTGAAAAATCTGTCAGACATCCATCATGCAGCCCTACTGTGGAAGTGCTGTGATTGTGAGCCTTGATAAGGATACTGTTGATGCCCTCCTACCCTGTGTTAAAGGACATACTTCAGAGGCATTGTCATTTATCACACAGAATGGTCCTGTGGAGATGACTTTACTGTTCAACAGGTGGAGAAACTGGGACTCAGAAGTGCTAATTTCCCCCGGGTCATTGGCAGAAAATGTCTGCCCGCTGTTAGTGTCCGCTACTTCCAGCCCTGGCTTCTTGGTTTGGGAGTACTGCCCAGGTGGTTTTGCAGTTACACCTGGTCGTGACTAACTGTGGACTTCTGCAGTGTGCTTTACAGTCTGGGATCACAACATATTATTGTATCTGGAAGTCAATTTGGTGCAGTACAATAGCCATATAAAAAATAGGATGGGGTGGTGGTGTGGCATAGCAGGTTAAATCACCGCGTGTGATTCCAGAATCCTGTGTGGGGGCCAGTTTGAGTCCAGGCTGCTCTACTCCATATCCAGTCCCCTAGTAAGGGACCTGGAAAGTCAACGGAAGAGGGGCCAAATAATTGGGCTCTGAGATGCAGATGAAGCTTCTGGCTTTGGTCTGATCCATCCCTTTCTGTTGTGGCCATTTAGCGAGTGACCCAGGAGATAGAAGACCGACCTCTCCCTGTCTGTCCTTGTTTCTTTGTAACTTTGCCTTTCAGTAACTACCAGAAACTACTAGAAGACATTACATTAAAAGGGTGAATATTTTTCATGATTTTGCTACACTAAGAATAATACTTGGAATATTTACAAAGCTTATGTAACATGTGTATTATGAAAAACGTAGGCATAGGTTTCATTTTTTGGCACCAAAAATTTAAAATTCCTTTTTTCCACAAATTATTTGAAGTGCCCTCATGTATGAATACATGTTGGTACAAACAGATAAGCACTACCGTGATACGGAGTCTTGATGAAAATGGGTTTCTTGACCTGATAATGAGTTTGGAAAGTGCAGAGTCGGGGGCTGGAGTCAGCAGTGGAGGCCTGAGAAGTGCAGACAGACTGCTGTGGGCAAGGAGCCCGTGTTGTTGGAAGCAGCTCCCCAAGGCATTTCTTGTGGGAGACTGCTGAGGGCTGCAGGAATGGGGTGGGCCGCTGGGATGGGAATGGCTCTACGCAGAGAGAAAGCCCCACTCGTTTGTCCTGTACACGAGAAACCCTCCAGGTTTTTGTGGTTACATTTCCCTGCTGCTTTCTTAGGCTGGAAGTTTCCCAGCTAGCCTAGCTTGTGTAGAAACATGTGACTTTGATTTCTACATGATAAACCAGAGGTCTTTTGCATGAGGCTGACTTGCTGTTAGTGTCTCTGTAATCCTCCCATGGCAACAGACATGATATTTCCTTATTTTTGCAGCTGCTGCTTACTCTGGGTTTGAACCAAACCACTATCAGCTGAAGCGCCAGCACAGCCATCATTTCTAATGCTAGCACAACCAGTGTAGTTCCAGAAGATGCGTAAAATAAGTCGCCCCAGTTGTTGCAGTTGTGGTTTTTCTGATAATTCTTGGTACTTTGGGAAGTGTCTTTCTCTCTGAGATTTCCTTGGAAATACTCACTTTAAACAAAGTCAGTGCTGAACTAATGCAACCTGACATGGGAACCTACACTATCACAGCTGCAGTTTAGGGAAGTAGCTATTTCAAAACAAAACAAAGCTAAATGCCGTTTGACTCTTCATAGAAGAAAGAAGAAATATCCAAAGATTTAAAAGCCATTTTGGGAAAACATTGCCCTGGGTGTTTGATAGGAGGTTCTGCTACAAGTCTCGTCTACATGTCGCCTCACGTGTGCTCACCTAGCAAAGGCATCCTCTAAGAACACCCTTCTTCCCCCCAGGATTGCCCACATACATCCCTCCCCACCTAGTCTGTCACTGCCTTGATGCTTGCCACTAGAGCCTTGTTTCCTCAAAAGTGCTTTCTTTGGTAAATGGGCAGCCATCAAATTGAAACACTCAAGCCAAGTGCAACGGGCAGCATATATCGTAGTCCCATGTTTTGAAAAGTTACTCCATTTAAGACATTAAGTGAAGGATTATAAAGGTCAAAATAAACCAGAACTCTCCCAGACTCCTTCCTAAGTCTACCCCTGATGATTGCATACCAGCAATGAATTTCACAGATTTATTTATCCCATTCCAAATCGTGCTACAGACTCAGAAGCACTTGTACCCAAGTAGCATGGAGATGAATGGGTTCCATGACATTTCTGCTCTTAACTCAGCACGTGGTAGAGTGAAGTCCATGTAGAAGTACCCAGAAGCCAAGACCAGTATTTTTTGGATATAAAAAATAGATTAAAATACTTAAGTACTAAAAATTAGAATTTCTAACAAAAAGTTATTTTTTAATGTATTTAGGAGGCAGAGAGAGACAGAACTCCCATCTACCGGTTCACTCCCCAGATGTCCAATCTTGGTCCAAAGCTAAAGTTGGGAGCTAGTAACTCAATCCAAGTCTCCATCTTGGCTAACAGAGATCCACTTTCTTTAACTGTCACCTGTTTGCTCCCTAGGATGCACATTATCAAGAAACTAGATCAGAAGTGGAGCCTGGACTCAAACTAAGGCCCTCCAGTATGGGAGGCAGGCATCCCAAGTGTTGTCTTAACTGCTGCACTAAGTACTCACCCTCATAAAATACCTTGTTTTACCATTTCTTTTTTCTTCTCTCTTTAGACATTCCTAATAAAAATATCCAAAAGTTAGACCTTCCTAATAAAACCCCAAAACAGAATAAAACATTTAAAAGCTATATTCATTTGTTGATGAAAACTAATTAAAATATACCAAAGTTTTCAATTTCTGTCAACATTTTTTTGTGTTAAAATAACATGAAAATAACAGAAAAAGTTTGCTGCACCTTGTACCTATGTATGGATTCCATTTGACACTTGTCACTGCAAATGTGTAATGCAGAATTCTGGATGCCAATATAAAAGAAAAAGCATGGGCTATGCGTTTCTCAATGTTTATTATTACAAAACCACCTACCCTTCATAATTTTAATTGGAGGTCAGTCAATTCATTCACAGATGACCTTGTTGAATGTAAAATTTGTGCCAGAAATTTTAATTAAGTGAAACACACATGGATAAAAAATCCTTCTATACAAATGGTGTACGTGTTCTCTATACCATCACTTCCGATAATGCTCTTTGTTCATTCATTCAAACTTTATAAAAGCATGTTAAGATTATACTGTATGTTTTTACACCAGAAATAAAGAAACTTAGTATAAAATTAAATAGAAATATAATTTGTGCTTTGGGAAATAAACTTAAAAGAAAAACAACGAACCAGAAAAACAGTTTTATGGATGTCAGGAATGCAAGACAGAGGAGGGAAATTGGGTGATGTTTTCCTGGCCTAATTATGGGCTGGAAAATCTGATAGCTATAGGATTCTATTGCATTTGTTTCTCTTTGAGCAAAATTTGCCCTTGTGAAAATTATTCTGGAGTGATTTTCCAAATAGGTATATTCTGTGTATAACTCTGAAGCTGTACTCAGACATACTATACAATATTGTGATTATCAGTTTGCTTACCTAATTTCTTATAGAGTTTATACCTTATTAACTTTGCCTTCAGTGGCTGGTCTGTATTCAGTCTCAGTCAATGGGTATTTTTTGGGCTTAACGAGCTCAGGCCAACACAAATACACATTATAAAAATATATGACACGGCCGGCGCCGCGGCTCACTAGGCTAATCCTCCGCCTAGCGGCGCCGGCACACCGGGTTCTAGTCCCAGTTGGGGCGCCGGATTCTGTCCCGGTTGCCCCTCTTCCAGGCCAGCTCTCTGCTGTGGCCAGGGAGTGCAGTGGAGGGTGGCCCAGGTGCTTGGGCCCTGCACCCCATGGGAGACCAGGAAAAGCACCTGGCTCCTGGCTCCTGCCATCGGATCAGCGCGGTGTGCCGGCCGCAGCGCGCCGGCCGTGGCGGCCATTGGAGGGTGAACCAACGGCAAAAGGAAGACCTTTCTCTCTGTCTCTCTCTCTCACTGTCCACTCTGCCTGTCAAAAAAAAAAAATATGACACACACGTATTATCCCATCACACTTGCAGCTAATGGGATTTCACATTGATGGCATATTCACACCAGAACTTCCATTAGTGTATTTCTGGTTTTTAATGAGAAAAATTGCAGCAACTGAAGTTGCAGCTGAGGACGGGAAGTCTCCCTGGGACTGCTAAGGGGGCCCTTTGAAGGGGAGAAATGATAGCTCTGTTTCTGGGGAGTGGCCCCAGTGCAATGCGTGTGCTTGCCAAGAAGGATAGGACTGTGAGGATTGCAGGTTTATCCCGAGGTGGCTGCTAAAATTTTGAACCCAGCATTGCTTGTGCTTCAGCTGCACCCTTATCAGCTGGATGGCTCCCATCTGCAGGCATTTCTTAGGAGAATAAACCAGCACAGGGGGATGCAAACAGTCACAAGGTGGCTTGGGCAGCCTGGCGTTCTCTTCTCTCTGACGGCGAGTGAAGCAGAGCCAGAGCGCGTGATATCAGTCCCTAGAGATTCACAGACAAGATATGAGTGGGCACTGGAATTCCTGCTAATAGGGCATGAAAAGGCCAAATAAATTAATTAAGAAATTAAGGAGCCATGATTGTGTTTGTAAGTAAATAATGAAGCTATTCCTCTGGGAGATAAATGCCTCTGTGTGTGTGTGTGTGTGTGTGTGTGTGTGTGTTAAGCTTAGTAACAGAAGCATACAAAGAAACAATACTTCCTTGGCTTATTGTAATTTTGCTTGAAAAAATAAAGGAAAGAATGATAGTTTCAAAAGAGCCTGTCATACCTGTGTGGAAGATGAAAAAAATTTTTGAGTAATCTGTGGATGTTAAAAGGTGCTGGATTCTCATTTTCTGTGGGAGTTGCAGAATCATCACTCATCACCTGGGAAAGTTCATTTTTCACTACAGCAGCAAGCTCTTTGAGAAGTCTGCTGGGAGGTTTACTCCTGGGACAGAAGGAAGTAGCAGACCTTGCCCTCCTGAGTACATTTGACATTCCAAGAAGTTGTATAATGAAAGAGGAAGCAATTAATCTATGAAAATGTTCCATAAAGTGAAACACGCTTTTCTCAGACCCAACTTGAACTGCCCTTTGCATGAAAGAGTTGAAGAGGAGGCAGAGGGATAGCGGACACTCCCAGGCTGGGGTCAAGACCTTGACCGAGCAAGGATGTAGCCAATCACGTAGCAGTCTATGGCCCAGAGCTGTGGTGCCACCAAACAGAATGTTACCACAGTAGCCAGCTGCTGGCTAAGAAAAGCCAAGGCAAAGGTGTTCACATTCAAGAGTAAAACAATTACCTCATACCTTATTCCCTCTTTTCACTTCCTGTTCATTTTGTCCTGCTAATTGAGCAATGTGGGTGATATTTTCAGTAACAGGGATTCTAAATTTCAGAGGAAAGAAGCATTTACACTTGAAGTATGTGCTTCAAGACCAAGTATATAGGTTCACAGTTGAGACACCCACCTCCTTGGAGGGCCAAGGTGGAATATGAGTTAGTATTCCGGACTCCAGCTTCCTGTTTGTGCAATCCCTGGGAGGCAGCACGTGACAGCTCAAGTACTGGAGTCTCTGCCATGCGCATAGGAGACAGGGACTGAGTTCCTGGCTCAGCTGCCGCCTGGCCCAGCCCCAGCTGTTTGCAGGAATTTGGGGAGTGTAGCAGCAATGAGAGCACTCTCTTTATTTTCCTCTCAAATAATTATTTTAAATATTTATTTTTTTGAAAGAGTTATACAGAGAGAAGGAGAGGCAGAAAGAGAGGGAGAGAGAGAAAGGTCTTCCACCCGTTGGTTCATTTGCCAATTGGCCTCAGCAGCCAAACTTTGCCAGTCTGAAGCCAGGTGCTTCTTCCAGGTCTCCAACATGAGTGCAGGGCCCCAAGGACGTGGGCCATCTTCCACTGCTTTCCCAGGCCACAGCAAAGAGAGCTGGATCTAAAGTGGAGCAGCCGGGTCCTGAACCAGCACCCATATGGGGTGCTAGCACTGCAGGTGGTGGCTTTACCTGGTATGCCACAGTGCCAGCTCCAAATAAATAAGTTTTTAAATTAACAGTAACATTAATGCTTTAGAGAGCGTATTCCTAACCAATACATGTTGGTACTTGGTACAGGCCATATATCAAGCAAAAATTTTGGAATTGAATGAGCTGATTTCCCTATTTCAGCATGTAAGTTAATGGTGGATGCTGAGCTCAAATCCCAACTCCAGGATATTCATACAGCACTTAAATAATTGCAGTATTCACCCTGGTGGTGAAATAATGATTTGTGCATGAGTGAGAATTTCCACAGCAGTTTGAGGCAGGAGAAACTAAGCACTGTAACTCAGTTGCTGTGTCTCAGTTAGCTGGCATGATGCTGTACTTACATGGTAGCTACTTGATAATTGGCAGATGTATTAAAGCTTAATAAGCAACTTAGTTTGTTATTTTTACTTCTTAGTCCTGCCTCCAGTGCCGTGGTTCAGTATGAAGTTACTAAAGGGCTTGATGCTCAGTTTAGAGTTATTCTGGCTTACCTCATGGGGATTTTTTTTCTGTCTGAAATGTATTTTTACTTTTTTTTGAAAATAGTGTTTATTGACCTATATTTACACATAATAAGATTCCACATCTTAGACATTTCAGTAGTTTTTGACAAATGTACAGTCACTACCACAGTCAGGAGACAGAGTGTTCCTAACACTGCAAGCAGCTCCTGGTGTCCTGGCTTGAGCAGCCACACCCTCCTCCCAGCCCTGGCCTCTGGCAACTACTCACCTGCTGTTCCCGGTGGGGGAGGGGGAGGTTCATCATCATTTTGGCCTTCTTTTTTTATTTATTTATTTTTATTTTTTTGACAGAGTGGACAGTGAGAGAGAGAGACAAAGAGAAAGGTCTTCCTTTTGCTGTTGGTTCACCCTCCAATGGCCGCTGCGGCCGGGACACCGCGCTGATCCGATGGCAGGAGCCAGGTGCTTCTCCTGGTCTCCCATGGGGTGCAGGGCCCAAGGACTTGGGCCATCCTCCACTGCACTCCCTGGCCACAGCAGAGAGTTGGCCTGGAAGAGGGGCAACTGGGACAGAATCCGGTGCCCTGACTAGGACTAGAACCCGGTGTGCAGGTGCCACAAGGCAGAGGATTAGCCTAGTGAGCCGCGGCGCCAGCCCATTTTGGCTTTCATTTTTGTTCCTATATCAGTGGTTGGTTCCTTTTTATTGCTTAGTTTTTCATTTTTTGGGTGTGCTATCCTATGTTTATCCATTCAGAAGTTGCTGTTACTGTGGCTACTACAGATAAAGCTGCTATTAATATTGCAGTATATCTTTCTGTAAGGATTTTTTTTTAATTTATCATATGTGAAGGTGTATGTGCACACACATGTGTACAACTAAGAGTTGGATTACTGAGTCCCAAGGCACATGGGTCTTAAATGTTCTACGAAGCTGCATTTCTGTTTTCAAAGTGGCTCTATCACTTGGCGATCCCACTAAGTATAAGAGTTCCAGGTGCTCCCCATTCTTGCTGATGGTTGGCATGGTCAGTCCTTCTCACTGTAGCCTTTGTAATGAGTGTGAAATGCTATCTTGGTTTTCATTTTTTTTTCCAGTGACTAAGGATTTTAAGCATGGCTTGACAAGCTTATTTGCTATTGCAAAAATGTTCAGTTCTTTTTCCTACTAGGTGTGTTTGTCTTCCCACTGACTTATTAGATTTTGTGTGTATTCTGAAATGTCTGTTATCAGGTATATGAAACAACAGATTTTTTTTGAACTAGTAGTTTGCCTTCTGTTGTCTTCAGTGTTTTTTTGCAGAAGAGCAAATTTTTTTTTATTTAATGTGAATTTATAAAGTGCAACTTTTGTATTGTTGTGGCTCCCACCCCCAACCTCCCTCCCTCCCGCGGCCCTCTCCTCTCCCACTCCCTCTCCCATCCCGCCCTTCATCAAGTTTCATTTTTAATTACCTTCATATACAGAAGATCAACTTAGTATATACTAAGCAAGGATTTCAACAGGCTGCACTCACACAACCGCACAAGGTATAGGGTATTGTTCGACAAGTAGTGTTGTTTTTAAGTTTCATAGTAAAACACATTAAGGACAGAGATCCCACGTGGAGAGCGTGTACCCAGCTGATGTCATGAATAAGAGTGCCAATTGTGAAATAAAAAGTTTTTAATTTGGTGAGGTTCATATGACCTGTTTTTTTTTTTTTTTTTTGACAGGCAGAGTGGACAGTGAGAGAGAGAGACAGAGAGAAAGGCCTTCCTTTTGCCGTTGGTTCACCCTCCAATGGCCGCCGTGGCCAGCGCACTGCGGCCGGCGCACCGCGCTGATCCAATGGCAGGAGCCAGGTACTTACCCTGGTCTACCATGGGGTGCAGGGCCCAAGGACTTGGGCCATCCTCCACTGCCTTCCCAGGCCATAGCAGAGAGCTGGCCTGGAAGAGGGGCAACCGGGACAGAATCTGGCGCCCCGACCGGGACCAAAACCTGGTGTGCCGGTGCCGCAAGGTGGAGGATTAGACTAGTGAGCCGCGGCGCTGGCCCTGTTTTCTTTTTTTAGAGTTTGTGCATCTTATGCACTAAGAAATCTTTGCTTAAAACACAAAAATATATTCTCTCATTTTCTTCTGGAAGTTTGGTTCAGCTTTTTATATCTAAGTGTATTTTGTAGTTAATTTCTAGGTGTGCTGTGAGATAAAGACCCGAGTTTGTTTCTCCTTCCTTCCACATGGGTAGCTGTTGACTTCGCATCTGTTGTTGAAAAGATGTCCTTTATTCACTAATATCCCTTGAATCATTTTTTTTTAAGTTTTTTTGACAGGCAGAGTAGACAGAGAGAGACAGAGAGAAAGGTCTTCCATTTGCCGTTGGTTCACCCTCCAGTGGCCGCAGCACGGCCGGTGCATCACACTGATCCAATGGCAGGAGCCAGGTGCTTCTCCTGGTCTCCCATGGGGTGCAGGGCCCAAGGACTTGGGCCATCCTCCACTGCACTCCCTGGCCACAGCAGAGAGTTGGCCTGGAAGAGGGGCAGCCGGGACAGAATCTGGCACCCCGACGGGGACTAGAACCTGGTGTGCCGGCGCTGCAAGGCAGAGGATTAGCCTATTGAGCCGTGGCGCCGGCCCCCTTGAATCATTTTAAAAAAATCAGCTTATCCTATACATATGAGTCTTTTTCAGCCCTGAACACATTGCCTTGATTACTGTATTTTCCTTGATTCGGAAGATTGTGTTCCTGGTTTTTTTTTTCATTTGTCAATATTTTTGTGCTGTTGTATGTTTTTCACATTCTCATACATGTTTTAGATATAATGTGTAATTCTATGATATAGTTTGCTGGGAGTTTGGATGAAATTGCATTGAATCAATGGGATCAAAATAGAGGTAATTGACATAACAGTATTGAGTCTTTTAGTTCACGTAGATGATCCCTTATTTCTTTTAAAATTTAGCTCAGCAATGTTTTGTTATATTTTGTTAAATTATTTCTATGTATTTCATATTTTTGATACTGTCCTAAATAGTTTTTTTTGTGCTTCTTGCAAGTACATACAAATCAAAAGGTTTTTATATTGATCTTAAAATTTATTCACTGGCAAATTCTTTTATTTATTTTATTTTTTTTTATTTTTGACAGGCAGAGTGGACAGTGAGAGAGAGACAGAGAGAGAAAGGTCTTCCTTTGCCGTTGGTTCACCCTCCAATGGCCGCCGCTGCAGCCGGCGCACCGCGCTGATCCGTTGGCAGGAGCCAGGATCCAGGTGCTTTTCCTGGTCTCCCATGGGGTGCAGGGCCCAAGCACCTGGGCCATCCTCCACTGCACTCCCTGGCCATAGCAGAGAGCTGGCCTGGAAGAGGGGCAACCGGGACAGAATCCGGCGCCCCGACCGGGACTAGAACCCGGTGTGCCGGCGCCGCAAGGTGGAGGATTAGCCTATTGAGCCACGGCGCCGGCAAATTCTTTTATTTTAGTAACTTTTTTCCCTGTTAGTGAATTCCTTAAGATTGTCTAGAATATCATATCTTTGAGTAATAATAGTTTTGCTTCTACTTTCCTACTTTGTCTAGGGCTTCCCTGGTATGTTCCTGAGTATGGGATGAAACCATTCAGTGTCATGTAGGTTTATGGTAGATGGCATTTATTTGATGAAAGAAGTTCCTCTATATTCCTAGCTTATTGACAGTTTTTATCATGAATGAATGTTAGATTTTTGTCAAATGGCTGTTGAGAATATGAAATGATTTTTCTTTTAAATTTGTGACTGTGGTAAATTTTACTGTCAAAATGATAAAACTACCTGTCTTCCCTGGAATGATCTCCACTTAATAATGATCTACCATCTTTAAAACTTAGTTCTGGACTCTTTTGGTTGGAATTTTGTGCTGTGTTCACAAAGTGCATTTGTCAATGGCTTGCTTTTCTTTTAACATCTTTGAGTGGTTTTGGTATTTGGGTATTTCTGGCCTCAGAGCATAAGTAGGGAAATATTCCCTGGTTTCTGGTAGGATGTTTTGTAAAATAAATTCTATAGGAACTCTATATTTAGGAGTAAATGTTACAAAGTGAGATAGGAATTATGTCTTTTATAGAATGCTTTACCAAGTACACGTTATAATGTTTCATATAAAATAGATATGTCACAATGTAAAATTTCAGATGAACATTGGAGTCAGTAAAACATGTTATCTAGGTTTTTATTATGTGTTTTACAGAAATGAATGCTGAATCAAAACAACGTGAAAGAGAATCTCTTTGTATAAACAATTTAATGGCAGTATTTTGAAAGCAAGCCCTACATTACCTCAGTAATAATGGTTAGTGGGCAGGGTGTGGACAGGGGAGTATGATGTGCTGAATTTTCTCCTTTTACATAGGGTGGAATTAACTTAAAGCTTTTTGTTCCTGGCTTTCAAATTTATAGAAAAAAGCTTAAAGAATGTTTTACAATGCTTACTTTTTATGGCTAGTGGAGCTAAGACCAGTTTATATAACCATCAAATTCCTGCAGAATTTAAAAGAAAATAAGAGCGACCCATATGTTGTATGTATATGTGTTTGTGTGCCTTTGTGATTCATTCATACATGTGTACTAATGAGAGAAAAACAAAACTCAAGAACTATAGGTTGCAATACATAAGTTATGGAAACGGTATTAATTTTTTTCTTGGTAAAGTCAAAGGATAATCCCATTCAGTAAAACTGTATGCTTCTCAGACTGAACACAAAATGTCAGAGAATGCTACATAGCCACCACCACAGCAGAAGGGTACTTTAAAGAAAAAAGATACATGTGGAAGTTAGTACTCAGAGCAAAACAATTTAGAGGGACCAGAGAGGCATGCCAGTGAAACATAAACCCATAAATGAAGATAACAGTCACATATTCATAGATTAAACTTAGTTTCAAGATAAAGCAAAACAATAAAGAAGAACCTTAGAGAAAATACAATTGTTTTGAGTGACACACCGATCTCAACTTAAAACAAGTCAAACTAGAGTGAGCATTTAGTGCAGTGGTTAAGATGCTGCTTGGGTCACTGAATTCCGTGTCTCAGTGCTTGGGTTCAAGTGCCAGCCTTGATTCTAATTCCTGCTTACCATTAAGTGTTAACCCTGGGAGGCACAAGTGATGTCTCAAGTACCTGGGGACCCATGCTACCCAGGTAAGGAGATCCAAATTGAATTTGGGCAGCTATTTAAACCTGGCTCAGCTCTGCTGTAGGCCCTTCGAATAAAAGTAACTTGACTAAAACAAAACAGACTTCTTAAAAAGAAAAGTCAAACTAGCATGAAAATAACAAAGGTATAGAAAATGCAAGTTAAGTAATCAGTGAAGCCCAACAAAGGTGTTTATTAATTTTTGTATTATCCCCAGAAGCATAGTCTCTAACTTAATTGAAATATTTTAAAAGGTCTTCCATCTGCTGGTTCACTTCCTAGATGCCACAATGGCCGGAGCTGTGCTGATCCGAAGCCAGGAGCCAGGAGCTTCTTCTGGGTCTCCCACATGGGTTCAGGGGCCCAAGGACTTGGGCCATCTTCTTCTGCTTTCCTAGGCCATAGCAGAGAGCTGGACTGAAAGTGGAACAGCTGGATCTTGAACCGGCGTCCATATGGGATGCCGGTGCTTCAGGCCAGGGTGTTAACCCACTGCGCCACAGAGCCGGCCCCGCCGTGTAACCATTTTTAAAATTTGCTACTGACATGCAAGAGATCATTGCTTTGCATTCCTTATAACCATTAAAATAGTGATGCATTTATTAAACAAGATCAGTGGAATCCAGTTAGAATGGGAACCAGGTTGTTATTTTACTGTGGTTGTCTCTTTTGCCTATTGCATTAGTTTTTGAAGGAGTTGACTATGAGCAAACTGCAAGTAAGAATAAAAGGGAATGTCAATAAAATGTACAATCTCTTAGAACTGTGTTTCACCCCCGGATGGGATTTCTAGCATGCTACATCAGCCATGATGGCCATTCTGCCCCCACAGGCGTTTTCCTTAACCAGTTGTGGTATAATTTCCAAAGGCTTGGCAGAGCAGAGTCCAGAAACAGTTAAAGTGACATTAGTAGGGTCTGTATATTTGTACACCCGTGGTATTTATATCTGAGGAGCTCCCTGCAGGAAACAGCCTCTGTGCTCAGTGGTGTGTCTGTACACTGGGTCTGTTTCATGTCTTGTCCCAGCAGAGCTGATGTTCCTGTATGAAGCCTACTGCACTTAAACATCTCTATTTATTTTTCTGTCGCTGGGCTCTGTCTGAGGCTTTTAAAGATACTGTTACAAAGATCTAGTGTGTGAACTGTCTGGAAGGGTCTCTCATGTACCTGGCATTAAGAAGCAGATTTATTTGGTGGATAACCAAAATGCAAATATGTGTAGTTTTATGAGATGCAGACCTGCCATTCCTTCCCTTTGTGCTTGTGCACATGTGGGTACACATGTACACGCACACATAACCCTTCTTTGTTCTGTGAGGGCATTTTCATTTTAATTCAGGCTCAAAGTGAAGAGGCAGGATACTTCAGGAATGAAAGTATGCACACTTTTCCCTTCTCTTTCAACTTCATTGGCATATTCCAGGTCCTTTCTGGACCCTCAGAACCCTACTCTTCAGTAAGTAATCTGATGGGTTGTCCTTTCCAAGTGCTTATGAAGTTAAAATCTCTATTGTAATTTTGATTGTAGAGAAGGCTTACTTAATCAACTGTCCCTTCTAAGATTTGAGGTTCAGTCACAGAGAGGAAGGATAGGGTGGGACCGATAGAATGGGATTCCTAGTATAGGAAAGAAGTTCCAGGCAAGGAGGTCTGCATGTCTTTTCACAGCCCACCCAAGTGTATAACTGAATGGGCTTTCTGTAAGAATGAGCAGCCCAGGCACCTCTGTCCTTCCATGGTGCCTGATCACTAGAGTGACTTCTTAGAGTTAAGGCTGTGTGATCCTAATAGGAGGAGTGATATTAACCTATGAGAGCCAGTTGAAATAGTTGAATTGTTTAGTTTAAAAGATTGGTGGACAATCATCTAGAATAAATGGGGCACACAACAAATATATTTTTATGGATTTATTATTTATTTGAAAGGCCAAGTTACAGAGAGGGAGAGACAGACAGATATTCCATCCTCTGGTTCCCTCCCCATATAGCTCAACAGCTGAAGCTGGGCCAGGCCAAGGGCAGAAGCCTGGAACTCCATCTGGGTCTCCCATATGGGTGGCAGGGACCCAAACACCTGCATCATCTTTTGTTGCTTTTCCCAGGCCATTAGTAGGGAGTTGGATTGGAAGTAGAGCAGCCAGGACATGAACTGGCGCCCATATGGGATGCCAACCTTGAAGGTGGTGGTTTTACCTGCTGCACCACAATGCTGGTCCAGAACTGGGGAGTTTTTAAGTATCCGTTCACTTCTGTGCTGGAGAGCAGTGTTGTGTTTCTCTTCTGTGATGCCTGCAGTTGAGGCAGTGATTTAACCCCCTGCTCTACAATGTCAGCCCCAACAAATACATTTAAGAGAAGGAGGGAGTGTAAGAAATTGTGTATTCTCAGGAACTCCACCCCTTCCAGAGAGTTGAGGGTGATGGCTTTCTTGTGAGTGTGATGCATCATGAATTAATTGCATTGTTTGCCAGCCTTCTCCTGGTGAATGCTATGTAGTGGTGTTTCTCTCCAAAGCGAGTTGAAAGTCCAGTTCAGTTGTTCCCTTGAGTCCCCTTCTCCTCCTCTGCCTTTCTTTTGGTTTCTCGGTTTTGTTTCTCTAATGCAGTTTATCTTTATGTTCTGGTGATCTTAACCTCAGAAAATAGTTTAAACATGGAACAAAGTAAACGTCTTTGGATGTACAGATTATAAATATTTCCACATAAAAAATGAGATGCTTTCATGTTTTGAGTTCAAGATAGATGTAAGCTGTGTAATAAAATATAATAACCTGAATGTATAACATCCTTGTTTATACAACCAAGCTCTAAAGTTTGATATATACAGAAACACAGTTAAGTCTGAGCTGAGCAAAGCCTTTATGTGGGTTTGTCTCTGGAATATGATTCCCTCCAGCCTGTGTACCCGGAGGGCCTGAATCTGACTTTCAAATAAACCCCAGACAGAGAAATAGGGTAAGAGAAGGTTAACTCTCAAGCCCCTCACCTCTTTTCTTACAGTGGTGTCTCAGACAAGCTTACCAGAGATTTAATTCTGTGTAGACCTGTAAGACTACAATGAGGGTTTCCAGTTTAATATGCAAATAAGAAACAGTGGTGCATGACTCCAAGTTCCAACCCTAATTCTTTGCCCTGATTTCGTCAAATGTCCCAACCTTCATGATCCTGAATATGGGTCTGCCCCCAAAGGCAGCTTGAAGTTTTCTGTACCCACTGCCTCTCCTGACCTGAAAGTCTGGCTTTAATTTGGGACATCTTAGGGGTTTTGGTCTTTATCTAATGTGCAATAAGAGTCTATTGAAGGATTTGAAGTGAGAATGATTGAGCCTTTTAAATCATTTCAAGGGGTGCACCCCTTCTAATGTTTAAAAAAAAAAACACATATGAGAAGAATGTATCAAGACCAGTAGCTTGAGGGAGGGAAGGGATGACAGCACAGGAGAGCAGGACAAGTGGAAAGCTTTAGGAGACACCTGGGAGAAAAAAAAATGGAGAAGTCAAGAAGATTTATTGACCATAAATGGGGCCAAAGCAGGAGAAGGAAAAGAATAAAGTAAACATAACATTATCTGAAAGGTATAAGAAATTTTGTAATCCAACCTAGTATGTCTTCCTCTTGAAAGTAACAAGAGAAAAAAAAACCTGTTAAGGAATAAAAGGAACCCACAGGGAAAAAAATCAATCTTGAGAAAATGGCCAACCTCATCTCATAAAACATAATCTCAGTTCTGAAATACCTAATGCAGGATTTAATATTTCTGGAATCAGGTGTGTACCATCATCCCAGGGAAACTTGTTGGCCATCCATCCAGAGACTGGTTCTGTGCAGTTAAGATAGCACACACAGCTGTCTTTTATTTCCTTTGCTAACTTAGAAAGAGGGGGTCTGACTAAAGTTAATTTGAACTTACCCTTTTTCCTTTGGATTTCCACTGAATGCTTAGTGATATCAAGGAGTAATAGATTCATAGTCCAGATTTCTTCCTGTTTCTATCAGCTTGATCATATAATTTAACTTATCAGAACTTCAGTATCATCATCTTACAACAGAGGTGAGCAAACACTAGCATGGTAGAATTGTTTCAGTGCATATAGGGCTGCATATGTTGCACATCTTAAATCACGGTGTTGGTGCTGCTCTGTGAATGGTAGTTATTATCTCATGAAGATGCCCCTCCACTGAGAAGTGCTGTAAAGAAGAAAATGATGTCACATCATCTTAAAATCAAGTTAATATGCACCAAACTCTCCAGACACCATGATTCCACGGTTTCCCATGGCAGTTTCATTTTCTGATTGCTTTATGGTAGTTAACGTTCAGACTTTCGTTCTTTGATTTCCTCATCTCATTACAATTCTGTCATCTGCTATGTGGTTCTGAGTTCTGCAATTCTGTCCTTGCACCCTGTCAACATCTGTCCTTCCAGCTGTGTGGCTAGAGGTTCTGTATTCCACCCCTGCACCTTCAGATATTTCCCAGTAAATGGGCACACTCACTATTAAGCATTTTCATGTGCTGTTTGTATTTGATCCTTTGGTGTCATCTTTCCCATTTTGCTTGTACAAGGACTTCATATCTCAATGACAACAGACTACCAGCTGCTTGACACAAAATCCTGCATTTGATTTTGTTTGAGTCTTGCCTCCTATTTTCCTTTTGCTCAGACGTCTAATTGCACTGAAATAAACAGTTGAGATCCTGTTTCTTAAGGTTAACTGAAATGCCAGTTCTGTAATCTTTGCATTATCTTAATGGAGACCATTTGATCAGTTCAATAAAATCTTTGCTTCTTGTGAAACTTGAGGATACTGTGGACTTCACAGATAAGGGGTCTTCAAACAGCTCATAGAAAATGTGTTATGAAAAAACTATGCATGGAATCCAAAAAATTTTTGGCACCAAAATGAACTTTTAATTCCAGCCTTCCATGCACTTTGTGAAGTCCCATCCTGTATACCTTAACCTATAGAGATTCATATGGTAACTGTACACCTTATATGATATCTATCCAGCCCAAGGTTGTAATGAAACCTGTTTGCCACCCCAGGAATTAAATGATTTTTGTGCTTCTTCAAAAAGACATTTTTTTAAAAAGATTTATTTGAAAGACAGAGTTACAGAGAAAGATGTAGATACACAGATCTTCCATCCATTGGTTAACTCCCCAAATGGCAGCAATGGCTAGGGCTGGCCAGGCCAAAATCAGGATCCTGGAATTCCATCCTGGTCTTTCGCATGGATGGCAGGGGTGTTATCTTTGTTGCTTTCACAGGTGCATATGCAGGGAGCTGGATCAGAAGTGGAACAGCCAGTCTCAAACCAGTGTTCATATGGGATGCTGGCATTGCAGGTGGTGGCTTAACCTGCAGTGCTACAATGGCAGCCCCCTCTCCCAAAAGATATTCTTTAGATAGGTTATATTTGGGAAAGAGAGGGAGTGTTGCCTGGGGAATAGGTGTAGTAAACAACCATGATCCAAACTGTTTGCTAGTTCGGCTCAGAGTCAAAAAGTCTTACTTAACATTATAAAAAGTGCCAGTGCACTTGTGTTGGAAATCATTGCAGAGGGAACTTGTTGTTCAGATGCCCCTTGGGGCTTCCTTACTTTGTAGGCAGGGGAGATTGCTGTTCCTTACCTGGCGTCAGACTCCTGACTGGGGTACCTCTAATCAGCAAGAGGAAAGTGTCTACTTTTTAAAGTTTGATCTGATATGAGAATATTTAGAGGGAAATGAAGGCCTAAAGACACAGGGAATCCTATGTATTTTTTTGTGATGTTTGATATAGAAGTGGACCATTGCAGAGAAACAGGCTAGGCTAGAAGGGGGTATGATGTGACGATGATAAACTGAGGTCGCTGAGCAAGGCCCGTTTACTCAGATTTTTCTCTGCACCCTCTCCTCAGGGACAAGAGTTTCCCTTTCCTCAGGGTATGGGTTGGGCACTCTCACGTGGCTATCTTGGGATCCACTGCAGAGGAAGGTCAGAGAGCTGCTTGATGAGCTTCTCTTGGGGGACACAAGGCAAGGGGTGTAGGGCTGGAAAGGCTACCTCGCTTCTGTTTGCTCAGACACCAAGGTGCCTGAGTCCCAACTGTCCCATCCAAATAGATCTCCCACCACGTACGCTTTGTAGAAGTATTTATGGTGAACAAGTTTATTGCCTCTTGCACCAACGATGCCTTTCCATTCTCGGTGCAGCTGTGTGTCCTGGGGAGGTGCCTTGCTACCTTATATTTACCTCTGGGGAACTCCCAGGTGCTGAAAACAACCACTGCAGTAAATGTCCCAGAACTTTGAAGTGAAATAAATTATGTCATAAGTAATTGCATGTTTTTAGGTTGTGCCAACTCAGTAAATGCCTATTTTGGAGAAAATATGTGGGATTGGTGAACTTCAGAAGGGGATGTCTGATCAGGGGTGGTGCAGGGGGATCCATTTTGTCTCCAGTGGGAACCAGTTCATCAACCCCCTAACAATGTTCAGAACCACTGGGACACGGCTTCCTGTTTCCCCTCCAGTTTGAGTATATCACTGTGATAGTTAGGTTTCTGGACATGAACTGTTAATCATGACCGTGTTGTATGTTATGAAGAAATCTTAACACGCACACATCCTAAGTATGTTTGTTTTCATGGGCCTGTTGCAGTATTTGTCATGCAATACAGTGTGGATTAATGACTTTTCTGCCATTTGGACAGCCCTGTTTTCGAAGCACCAGTATTCGCCACTTAGAGAGTGGATTGATGCCAGTGCTTGGAGCACTGCTTCTTCCTTCAGCACACCAGATGGTACTAAAAATGCAAAATATTTCCTATAACAGCTGTATCTTTGACAACAAAATTAATACCAGCTGAAATAGCACTGCTGTGTGAAGGGCACAACAGCGAGGTCCTGCAGGCTGAGAGTGCACGCAGGCGCTGGTCGACAACTCACAATAGCTGCAGCCACACAGAGAAAAGCACCATGTCAGCGGCTGTGTCCTGTATGGAAAGCCCTCTGGACAGAGCCCCTTGCACATTTGTCAGGACGCTATTGCTCCCCTGAACATGGATTGCACTACGCAGCCACAATCCAGGAACACATTCCCACCACTCAGTTTCCAAAAAATCATCTCATTTCTATTTTAAGCTCTGTCTTTGTTGAGGTGATGAATCTCTTAAGGAGAATTTGAATAGGAATTAATCTTGACAAACCCATGGCCAGCGTCCTATTGCTTGGAGCAGATTTGGAAGTATTCCCACTGAGATCCAGAACCAGACAAGCATGCCCACTCTCACCACTGCTATTCAATATAGTCCTGGAAGTTTTTTTTTTTTTTTTTAAGATTTATTTATGTACTTTAACATCAGAGAGAAGAGAGGCAGAGAGAGAGAGATTGAGAGATCAAGAGATCGAGATCTTCCATCTGCTAGTTCACTCCCCAGTTGGTTACAATAGCCAGAGCTGTGCCAGTCTGAAGCCAGGATCCAGGAGCTTCCTCTGGGTCTCCCACACAGGTGCAGGGACCCAAGGACTTGGGCCATCCTCTGCTGCCTTCCCAGGTCACAGCAGACAGCTGGATGGGAAGTAGAGCAGCCAGGACTTGAACTGGCGTCCTTATGGGATGCTGATATTGCAGGCAGCAGCTGTACCTGCTATGCCACAGTGCCAGCCCGACATAGTCATGGAAGTTTTAGAAAGAGCCGTTAGGCAAGAAAAAGAAATCAAAGAGATTCAAATCAGGAAAAGAGGAAATCAAATTATCCCTATTTGCAGATGACATGATTGTATATATAGGGGATCCAAAAGACTCCACCAAAAGACTGTTGGAACTCATAGAAGAGTTTGGTAAAGTAGCAGGAAATAAAATAAATATACAAAAATCAACAGCCTTGAAATACACAGACAATGCCATGGCTAAGAAAGAACTTCTAAGATAAATCCCATTCACAATAGCAAAAAAAAAAAAAAAAGAAAAGAAAAGAAAAAAAGAAAAAGAAATGCCTTGGAATAAATTTACCCAAGGATATCAAAGATCTCTACGATGAGAATTATGAAACATTAAAGGAGGAAATAGATAAAGACACAAAAAAATGGAAAAAACTTCCATGTTCATGGATTGGAAGAATCAATATCATCAAAATGTCCATTCTTCCAAAAGCAGTTTATGAATTGAATGTGATACCAATCAAAATAACAAAGATAATCTTGAGATCTAGAAAAAATGATGCTGAAATTCATATAGAAACACAGGAGACCTCAAATAGCTAAAACAATCTTATAAAACAAAAACAAAGCCAGAAGCATCACGATACCAGATTTCAAGACTTATTACAAGGCAGTTATAATCAAAACAATCTGGTACTGGTACAAAAACAGATGGACAGAACAGTGGGACAGAATAGAAATGCCATAAATCAATCCTAGCATCTACACCCAACTTATATTCAACCAAGGAGCTAAAACCAATCCCTGAAGCAAGGACAGTCTTTTCAACAAATGGTGCTGGGAAAACTGGATCTCCACACACACAAGTATGAAGCAGGACCCCTACCTTACACCTTACACAAAAATCCATTCAAAATGGATTAAAGACCTAAGTCTATGCCCTGATACCATCAAATTATTATAGAACATTGGAGATACCCTGCAAGATATTTGCACAGGCAAAAAGTTCCTGGAAAAGACCCCAGAGGTACAGGCATTAAAAGCCAAAATTAACAAATGGGATTACATCAAATTGAGAAGCTTCTGTACTGCAGAAGAAAGGAAAGTGAAGAGGCAACCAACACATTCGGAGAAATTATTTGTAAACCATGAAAGTGATAAAGGATTAATAATCAGAATACATAAGGAGATACAGAAATTCTGCAACAACAAAACAGACAACCCATCTAAGAAATGGGCAAAGGACTTAAACAGACATATTTCAAAAGAGGAAATACAAATGGCCAACAGACTCGTGTAAGAAAGCTCAGGAATACTAGCAATCAGGGAAATGCCAAAAACAAAAACAAACAAACAAACCAAGAAAACACCACTACGAGGTTTCACCTCACCCCAGTTAGAATGGCTTTTATACAGAAATCAACAAACAACAAAAGCTGCCGAGGATGTGGGGAAAAAACTTGCCCTAATCCACTGTTATTGGGAATGTAAACTAGTAAAGCCACTGTGGGAGACAGTTTGGAGATGCCTCAGAAATCTGAATATAGTCCTGCCATACGACTCAGCCATCCCACTCATAGGAATTTACCCAAGGAGAATGAAATCAGCAGACAAAAGAGTTACCTGCACCCCCATGTTTATTGCAGCTCAGTTCACAATATCATTCCTAAATACCTGTCAATGGAAGAGTGGATAAAGAAATTATGGGATATGTCCTCTATGGAATACTACACAGTGGTAAAAAACAAGTGAAATCTGGTCATTTGCAACAAAATGGAGGAATCATACTTAGTGATGTAAGCTAGTCCCAAAGGGATGAATATTGTATGTTCTCCCTGATCTGTGACAACTAACAGAGCACCTAAAAGGAAACCTTCAGAAGTGAAATTGACAATATGAGAAGCAAGGACTATAACAGCCCTTGTCTTGACAGTTGAGCAGTTTTTTTTTTTCAATACTTAGTACCATTGTTTGAACTCTTTACTTAACATAGAATTAATCATGTGTGTATAAAGTAAATTGAAAATAGATCCCAGTAAAAAATAAGAGTGGAAATAAGAGAGAGAGGAGCTGTATCTTTCTGCCTACATTCCTACACACTTACTTCTATGGGTAATGCTAAAAACTTGCCATGGGATTCTAAATCCCATTAAGCTGGGTGATAAAAATGCAATCTTAAGTGTTGAAGTGATCATATATATAGGATTAAGTGTTAAAGGGATCATATATATAAGATCAAACATCTGGCAATAATAATAGAATTAAAAAGGACAGAATGTTCTAACTTGGGAAGCAGTCCAAACAGCAGACTCATAAAATGAGCTTTAAATAGCACTCTGACCTCAGAGTCAGCCTTGAAGACATTCTGGTCTGGTTGAAAACCCATGAGAGCATTTCAGGCATGGAAATCCAAGACACTGTGGCAAAAAATGTCCTTCATGAAGAATGAGTGGGACCCCAGGGAAAAGAAGGGGCCATCAAAAAAGGAGGTACCTTTCTCTGAAGGGAGGAGAGAACTTCCACTTTGCTTATGGCCCTGTCTAAATACTGATGGAGATTGTGGACTCAAAAGGCTTTTGGCAGCTCATGTCAAGAGCCGCTGGTGGTCACTGACATCATACGTAAAAGTGTTAATTTTGGGGGGACTGGCGCCATGGCTCACTTGGTTAATCCTCTGCCTGTGGCGCCAGCATCCCATATGGGCGAAGGGTTCTAGTCCCGGCTGCCCCTCTTCTAGTCGGGCTGTCTGCTGTGGCCTGGGAGGGCAGTAGAGGATGGCCCAAGTCCTTGGGCCCCTGCATCCGCGTGGGAGACCAGGAAGAAGCTCCTGGCTCCTGGCTTTGGATTGGCGCAGCGCCGGCTGTAGCGGGCCATTTGTGGGGTGAGCCAACGGAAGGAAGATCTTTCTCTCTGTCTCTCTGTCTATAACTCTACCTGTCAAATAAATAAAAAATTATAAAAAGGTGTTAATTTTTAACAAGAGTCACTATGCACTTACTCCCCATGCAGAACCTTTGTCCTTAATGAGTTGTAGAATCAGAATTAACTGTAAAACTTGTTCTCAGTTTTTTTTTATTTTGTGTGTGTGTGCAAATTGTCAAATTGTTGAAATCTTGACTTGGTATAGAGTTGGTATTCTGTGTATGAAGCTAATTAAAAGGTAATCTTAATGGAGAAAGGGACTCAGAATGGGAGATGGAGGAGGAGGTGGAATGGGACAATTATTGAAGTCGGCATTACTTGGAGAACTAAAGTATGTACTGGTCAGAACAGCAAGACCTAACATGGGCCAGCATAATGAAGTAAGTTGAATCACAGTCAATTTTTGTACCCACGTTCATTATAAGACATAAAGTTCCTGCCAGCAAAGTAAGAATTTGGGGTGCTCAGGGAATAAAAGGGTTTTGAGGTGATTCCAATGTACACCACACAGTTTATGCTGTCCAGGGTGTCCCTAAACCAAGACTGTGGTTATTTACTCAACTCCTGAGTGGAGGTTTGGGGACACATATCCTCAGCGTGTGTTGCCTCACTTGGTTCTGTGTGTATTAAGAGCTTTTATAAAAGGAAGGGCCAAGCTGAAGTCCTCTGGGCACCACTGCCTTACCACAGAGGTAAATCCAAAGTAATACTGAGTACCTGATGGTATTAGGAGGCCTTATGCAGCCTTCCAAGACTGCAACGTGGCAAGGATGTCAATCTCTGTGTTACCTTCTTCTAATTCTCTATTTGCATGACAGAAAAGACATGCTTACCCTGGAAAATGATCACTAAAAGATTAACCAGGCAGATATATTCGAGCAAATTAATAATTTTTTTTTTTTGGCAAATGGTACCCAGCTGAGATGGTCTAACTTTTTCCTTAAATAGCTTTACCTGGCAGAGACAGCCGCAGATCTTTCTGATCTGGCTCAAGTTTACATCAGGTTTGAGGCATACTTCTCTCTTCAGGATCCTGTCATTATGTCGTATCATTATGAGCTGCTGCTGATTTTGAGAGAATGGTAAATGCTGTGATAAGATTACACACACACACACGCACACACACATATATGCATGCATGATTCCCATCAATTTCTTTGGGCTTACATGAAGACCAGATAGTAAATGTTTTAGGTTTTAAGAGTGAGCAGTAAAATGAAAGACGCTATCTAAGCACCTATGGCTTGCAGTGAGTGCTTCAGGCAGTGCTCAAATGCTGTTAGAAGACAAGAGCCAAGCTGGATTTGACAGCAGGCTAGAGTTCATCAACCATAGTCTGGGTGACCTGAGCATATAAAGATGTCTCTTTCAAAATTAGAAAGTTGCAGCTGCGCCTTACATGATGATGAATGAGTCAGAGGAATCAATGAGTTTCTTTGCATGTTGGGGTGAAGGCTAATGGGTAAATATAACATTTGATTAGGTCTATAGAAAGAGCAAGTGCTCCAGTACACCACTCGCATAGTGATTTTAATGGCTCTCAGGTGTGTGTGTGTGTGTGTGTTTTAAGCTCATTGAATGACGAGGTGGAACACATGACATGAACTGGTACAAGAGTGACTGTGAAGGGCCCTAGGATTTCAGAACAGAGCTGTAAATCGTTTGGCAATGGTACACTTTTGAAAATTTTTGATTTGGTTGACATTGAAAATGAAGTGACCCCAAGGTACTATAGAGGGAGTCCAGTATGTACTCAGTGCTCTGTAATCTACACAGATACGAGTCAGACCTTCCAAGCAGCGTTCAGGTGTTTAGCAAATAGAAGTGGGGAAGAAAGGGCCTGGACACGAACTGGTTCTGTAGGAACAAGTAAGTTGGCTGAAGCAGTTGTTTGTGCCCCTGCTCTCCTATCTTTGCTGCTTTGCCAGTCCTTATTCAGTACCTCCTGTAGTGTCCTGGGCACATTCCTCAGGATAAGATGATTGATGAAATTAAGTGAGGAAAAATTTGTTCAGCTTATTTTGCAAATTGATTCCATCGTAATCTGGCAACAGCTGGAAATGGTCTGAGTATGTATGAGAATCCCCACTGAAGTGTGGCCATGGTAGTTAGCAAAGAGATACTTGACCAGCAGAGAAATACTTTTTCTTTAGAGTGAAATGAGAGATATTTGTCCAAACCAAGGGTACATAAAATTATTAAGTGTATACCTAATGAATTTTGGGGAAGATACATGAAGACAAAACTCTTGGAAGGATCTTAGAAGTGTCACATGAGAATGCCTATGAAGAACCCCCCCCAACCATGTCAACAAGTTGTATAGACGTCCTTGGGCCATGTTTCTCAGTCATTGCCACATGAGCAGACATGTTTGTGGCAGAGCAACAGCAGAGTGGCAGAACTACATCCCTGCACTCAATGCAGGGTGGCATGCCTTCAGATCACAGGCATAGTGTTATTTTTACACAGCCATATGATGGGTGTCACCTCTGCAAAGCATTTCATCCATCCCTGTCTGTGTATCAGAGGGCCTGATGGAAGGGTCATGCTCTCAAGTATACACCATTTGTAGGAACTTGACAAAGTGCCTTGTTGAATCACATAATCTCAGGCACTAGTTGGTTACCCAACTGCTTGTTGATTACAATGGAGTGCTTTCTTCAAACCTGAATCCAAAATTTGAAAATTCTGAATTAAAAATCTCAAGTTTCACGTGTTGACATGATGCTATAAGTGCAAAATTCCACACTTGACCTCATTTAACAAATCAGTGAAAATAAGGTGAACTACAAATATTGTAGCTTGGTGCTATAGTATAAAGTATATATGAAGCATAAATGAATTTAATTTCTTCCCAAGATATTATTATTATTATTATTATTATTTTTTTACAGGCAGAGTGGACAGTGAGAGAGAGAGAGAGAGACAGAGAGAAAGGTCTTCCTTTGCCGTTGGTTCACTCTCCAATGGCCGGCGCGCTGCGGCCGGCGCACCGCGCTGATCCGATGACAGGAGCCAGGAGCCAGGTGCTTTTCCTGGTCTCCCATGGGGTGCAGGGCCCAAGCACCTGGGCCATCCTCCACTGAACTCCCGGGCCACAGCAGAGAGCTGGCCTGGAAGAGGGGCAACCGGGACAGAATCCAGTGCCCTGACCGGGACTAGAACCCGGTGTGCCGGCGCCACTAGGCGGAGGATTAGCCTAGTGAGCCGCGGCGCCGGCCCTTCCCAAGATATTATATGTGTGCAAGTATTCAAAAATCTGAAAAAATAGCTTGAAATCTGAAACACTTCTATTTCTAAGCATTTGAGTAAGGGATACTCAACCTACCTATTACAGTATGTTCTCATTAGAAGATAAGTGTTCTGAATGTATGAGCCACTCTTGTCTACCATACTTATTCCAGCATCACTGCAAGAAGATTCACTGTCTCACATACCATCATCATATGCCATACCATTTTACAAGTAAACATACAAGACCTGTAGACACTGCTGATCAGTTCACAGTTTAGAAGACTCCATTTCCCACAAGCAGCTGACTTTTCAGGATGGTTGAGTACTTCATAAAGACTCACTTATTCCCACAAACTGGGAACAAGACTGTATGAGTTTGGATTGCTGTCCTTCACTGGCAAATGTTCTGAACCAGGGATCAATATAACAGCACTACCTTCTGTAGACCTAATGGAGGAGTCAGAATAAAAAGGTGGACCCCCACCCTGGCATGAGTTCATTAGCTAATCCCAATATTCTTGGCTCTGTTGCTCTCTATTTCACCAATAATAGTTGTATTGCATTGCAGTTGGAAACTGCTGATTATGGGATTGGGACTTTTTCAAACCATTGAGTGAAGGTAAAGTTGGACTTTTGGTGTTGGTTGTGGTCATTGACTCTCCTATGGAGAGGAGGTGGATTTACTGCTCTTCAGTGGGAGTTGGGAGGATGATCGGCAGAACACAGGTGATCTCTGTGGATATGTCCTCTTCCTGCCATGTCTGTTACTAAGAGTTGAAGAATACTACAAGAGGGTTAGACCTCCTCCCGACTGAAATGTATGTAAAGGTTAAGGAAACACAGAACACAAGGCAGAAAGGCAAAGACGAAAATGCAGCTAAAACCCCTGGCAAACTGTGGAAATGATGACTCAGCTGTTCTTTGTGTGTGTGAAAATGTGTGCATTTGTATATACTTGTATCTGTATGTTCATGCACTTCCATGTTTGTGTCCCTAAGCTTATATACAGTGTATCAGTGGATATGGATAGTGTATGTGTATATAGTGCATAAGTGCACATGCATATAGTCCCAATTTTTCTTCTATACTGCAGTAAGGGTATGTTTTAGGGTTATTATCCACTTGAGCCTTTGGTCTATAGCTTGGTATGGTATTGAATCAGTATTTTGATTGGACTAGCACTAGATGTCACCCATAAATTCTACATAAGGAATTGAACATACTCTACAGTGAGAAGTTGTGCTAGTTAATCAAGAAGGTGGAAGTGTTTGGGGAAATATGAGCAATGGCATCATTTTGTTACAGATGTGTAATTTAAAAAATTTAAGGTATAAGGAAAGGGTTGTCGTAACTCTGTGTTAGGGTGGACTGAAGTGAATATTTATTGGCTTTTTGTAGGGTGAGAGGAATTTATCGTCCTTCTGTAGATACCCCCCCCAAAACTACAGACTATTGAGGGCCCCACACAGGGACAGTGCTGGTGTCTAGAGATAAGAGAACAGGAGTGTCCTAAGCCTCCAGGGACATTTCTAAGGAACAGCAATAGAACGGAGTCTGGTTCTCTTGGCCTGTTGTATGCTGAAAGTTGACCGGATTTTTAACTAATTGCTTTGCTGCTGTTCTCTGGCCTTCTACATGATTCTGGGTATCTTCCAGTCTTTATCATACATTGTTTTCTGCTTAACTAGCTTTTTTTATTCAGTTTACATTTTGTACCACACTAAGAATTATTCGAAGAGGGAGGGATTCATAGATTTCACATTAGCTTCTCTTTGTCATAAGCACCAAATGCACATTTTCAATATCAAATCTATTTAGTGTATCCGAACAAACATAAATCCACTTGAAGTCATAGTAGTTACTGAATTATATTTGGCAAATATTTTATCTTTAATCATTTTTCTGTATTCTGAAAGTCTTGGGTTGCTTTTTTTATATAAAGTTTGGCCTTTTGGCTAAGATCAAGTGTAATAAATTTCACAGGTACAGCTTTAGGAATATAGCTGTTCTTCCTCCCATGCCCGCCCTCTAACCCCCACTTCCTACTCCCTCTCCCATCCCATTCTTTGTTAAGATTCATTTTTAATTATCTTTATATACAGAAGACAAAGTCTATAGTAAGTAAAGATTTCAACACTTTGCACCCACACAAACACACAAAGTATAAAGTATTGTTTGAAGACACGGTTGACCATTAATTCTGATAGTACAATTCTTCAAGGACAGAGGTCCTACATGGGGAGTAAGTGCACAGTGATTCCTGTTGTTGATGTAACAATTGGCACTCTTATTTATGACGTCAGTGATGACCTAAGACTCTGGACATGAGCTGCCAAGGCCATGAAGCCTTTGAGTCCACAATCTCCATCAGTGTTTAGGCAGCGGCATAAGCAAAGTGGAAGTTCTTTCCTCCCTTCAGAGAAAGGTACCTTCTTCTTCGATGGCCCCTTCTTTCCACTGGGATCTCACTCACTGAGATCCTTCATTTAGGTCATTTTGCCACAGTGTCTTGGCTTTCCATGCCTGAAATGCTCTCATGGGCTTTTTAGCCAGATCCAAATGCCTTAGGGCTGATTCTGAGGCCAGAGTGCTGTTGAGGGCATTTCTCATTCTATGAGTCTGCTGTGTGGCCTGCTTCCCATGTTGGATCATTCTCTCCTTTTTAATTCTATTATGATTATTAGCAGACACTTGGTCTTATTTATGTGATCCCTTTTGTCGCTCCCCCTCTTCGTGGAGGAACGACACAGGACCCTGCGCTGTTCTTTCATCTGCTCGGCCCTCCCCGGGTTTGCTGCTGGTTCTTCCCGGGTTGGCTACTATCCCTTCCACCTCCGTGGAAGGGCAGTTCCCCCTGGCCACATTCCCCACTTCCGCAGGGGAGCGGCACACCGCCAGCCGGCTTTCTCGGGGGCTGCACGGGTGTTCCTTCAGCTAGATGTTCCCCTTAGATGTTCCCCATAGATGTTCCTGGTGCATGCCGTCTCTCTCCTCCTTTATAGTCCTCCTCCGCCAATCCCAACTCGGCTGCCCACACGCCGAGTACGCTGCTCTCCTCCAATCAGGAGCGAGTCCTACAGTTTATTATTTGAACTGGAGGCAGCTGTGCGGAAGCTGTTTACTTCTCTCCCAGCGCCATATTGTGGGAGAGCAGATGCATAGAATAAGTCTTAATTCCCGAAACTCAGTCCAGTCCGGATTGCTCCCCACACCTTTGACACTTAATCTTATCTATTTTATCAGTTAAACACTTAAAATGATCATTTTAATGAGTAAGATGGCATTAGTACCACCCAGCTTAATGGGATTTGGAGTCCAAGTTTTTAGCTTTACCCTGAGGGGTAAGTCCATAGGAACGTGTGCCGAACTGTATCTATTCCCTCTCTTACTCCAACTCTTTTTTTTTTTTACTGGGATTAGTTTTCAATTGGATTTAAATACCTATGAATAATCCTGTATTAAAAAGAGTTCAAGCAATGGTATTAATTAGGAAAAAGAAAATAGGAGAAAAAAATATAGTAAGCTATTCCTCGACAGTCAGAACAAGAGCTGATCAAGTCATTGCTTCTCATAATGTCAATTTTACTTCTGCAGATTTCCTTTTAGGTGCTCAGCTAGTTGTCACAGATAAGGGAGAACATACAATATTTGTCCCTTTGGGACTAGCTTACTTCACTAAGTATGATGAGTCCCAGATTCTTCCATTTTGTTGCAAATGACTGGATTTGTTTTTTTTTTAACTGCTGTGTAGTATTCCATAGAGTACATATCCAATAATTTCTTTACCCAGTCTTCCATTGACGTACATTTTGGTTGAATCTATGTCTTAGCTATTATGAATTGAGCTGCAGTCAACATGGAGGTAGGTGCTAATAGCTCTTTTGTTATGCCAATTTCATTTCCTTTGGGTAAATTCTGAGTAATGGGATGGCTGGGTCATACAGTATGGCTATATTCAGATTTCTGAGATACGTCCAAACTGTCTTCCATAGTAGCTTTACCAGCTTACATTCCCACCAACAGTGGATTAGGGTACCTTTGTCCCCACATCCTTGCCAGCATTGATTGTTTATTGATTTCTGTATGAAAGCCATTCTAACTGGGTGAATAAATATGAGTGAGGTGAAAACTCACTGTGGTTTTTATTTGTCTTTCCTTAACGGCTAGTGATCCTGAACATTTTTTCATGTGTCTTTTGGCCATTAGGATTTCCTCTTTTGAAAAAAGTCTGTTTAAATCCTTTTTCCGTATCTTAACTGGGTTGTTTCATTGTTGTGTAGTTTTTGATTTCTTTGTAGATTCTGATTATTAATCCTTTATCAGTTGCATAGTTTACAAATAATTTCTCCCATTCTGTTGGTTGCTTCTTTGCTTTCCTGTTTCTTTTTCCATACAGAAACTTCTCAATTTGATGTAATCCCAGTTGTTAATTTTGGTTTTGGCTGTCTGTGCTTCTGGGGTCATTTCCATGAAGTCTTTGCCTGTGCCAATATCTTGTAGGGTTTCTCTTGTTCTCTAATAATTTGAAGGTGTCAGGTCATAGATTTAGATCTTTAATCCATGTTGAGTGGATTTTTGTGTAAAGTGTAAGGTAGGGGTCTTCATACTTCTGTATGTGGAAATCCAGTTTTCCTAGCGCCATTTGTTGAATCGACTGTCCTTGCTACAGGGATTGGTTTTAGCTCCTTGATCAAATGTAAGTTGGTTGTAGATACCTGGATTGATTCTGACACTTCTGTTTTGTTCCATTGTTCTGTCTGTCTGTATTTGTACCAGCACCAGGTTGTTTTGATTATAACTTCCCTGTAGTATGTTTTGAAATCTGGTATTGTGATGCCTCTAGCTTTCTTGTGTAAGATTGCTTTAGCTATTCAAAGTCTCCTGTGTTTCTATATGAATTTCAGCATCATTTTTTTCTAGATCTGAGAAGAATGTCTTTGTTATTTTGATTGGTATCACATTCAATCCGTAAACTGCTTTTGGAAGAGTGGACATTTTGATGATATTGATTCTTCCAATCCATGAACATGGAAGTTTTTTCCATTTTTTTGTGTCTTTATCTATTTCCTCCTTTAATGTTTCATAATTCTCATCGTAGAGATCTTTGACATCCTTTGTTAAGTTTATTCCAAGATATTTGCCTTTTTTTTTTTTTTTTTTGCTATTGTGAATGGGATTTATCTTAGAAGTTCTTTCTTAGCCGTGGCATTGATTGTGTATAAAAGGCTGTTGATTTTTTATATTAATTTGATTTGCTGCTACTTTACCAAATTCTTCTATGAGTTCCAATAATCTCCTAGTGGAGTTCTTTTGATCCCTTATATAAAGAATCATGTCATCTGCAAATACGGATAGTTTGACTTCCTCCTTCCCAGTTTTCATCCCTTTGGTTTCTTTTTCTTGCCTCACAGCTCTGGCTAAAACTTCCAGTATAGTATTGAATAGCATTGGTGAGAGTGGGCATCCATGTCTGGTGCCTGATCTCAGTGGGAATGCTTCCAACTTTTCTCCGTTCACTATGATGCTGGCTATAGGTTTGTCATAAATGGACTGATTGTGCTGAGGAATGTTCCTTCTATACCCAATTTGCTTAAAGTTGTCATCATGAAAGGGTGTTGTAATTTATCAAATGCTTTCTCTGCAAATACTCAGATAATCATATGGTTTTTGTGCAGCAGTTTGTTAATGTGGTGTATCACATTGATTGATTTGTGAATGTAATGTTGAACCATCCCTGCATACCAGGAATAAATTCCACTTGGTCTCTGTGCATGATCTTTCTGTTGTGTTGTTGGATTCGATTAGCTAATTTTTTTTTTGCCACATAAGAAGTTTAATAATTTAAACAAAAGATCTTAGTTTAGTAGGAATAGACAATGACTATAAACAATAATTTAATGAAAAATCACCATTTCACCTATATATAGTAAGTTATATAGTAATCACAAATCATTAAAACTATAGTAATATAACATTCTTACCTGCTGGTTTTACAAAGGTACAAAACAAAGTTTTACAAAACTATATTTGCAGCAATACTGATGCACAGAGATATTTCTTTTTTTTTTTAACTTTTATTTAATGAATATAAATTTCCAAAGTACGACTTATGGATTACAATGGCTTCCCCCCAATACCATCCCTCCCACCCACAACCCTCCCCTTTCCCACTCCCTCTCCCCTTCCATTCACATCAAGATTCATTTTCGATTATCTTAATATACAGAAGATCAGCTTAGTATACATTAAGTAAGGATTTCAACAGTTTGCTCCCACACAGAAACATAAAGTGAAAAATAATAGATGATTTTTTTTAAATGATGATGAAATCAGATCAGACCTATTGTCATGTTTAATCCCAGCGAGAGTCAAGTTGGGAATTGCTAATTTCTTCTTCTTCTTTTTTTTTTTTAACAGAAGATCAGTTTAGTATACATTAAGTAAAGATTTCAACAGTTTGCACCCCCATAGAAACACAAAGTGAAATATATTGTTTGAGTACTCGTTATAGCATTAAATCTCAATGTACAGCACATTAAGGACAGAGATCCTACATGAGGAGTAAGTGCACAGTGACTCCTGTTGTTGACTTTACCAATTGACACTCCTGTCTATGGCATCAGTAATCTCCCTATGCTCCAGTCATGAGTTTCCAAGGCTATGGAAGCCCTCTGAGTTCTCCGACTCTTATCTTGTTTAGACAAGGTCATAGTCAAAGTGGAGGTTCTCTCCTCCCTTCAGAGAAAGGTACCTCCTTCTTTGAAGACCTGTTCTTTCCACTGGGATCTCACTCACAGAGATCTTTTTGCCAGAGTGTCTTGGCTTTCCATGCCTGAAATACTCTCATGGGCTTTTCAGCCAGCTCCGAATGCCTTAAGGGCTGATTCTGAGGCCAGAGTGCGATTAGCTAAAATTTTGTGGAAGAGTTTTGCATCCATGTTCATCAGGGAAATTGGTCTATAATTCTCTCTCTCTCTTGCATCCTTTTCAGGTTTGGGAATTATGGTGATGCTGGATTTGTAGAAAGCATTTGGGAGGATTCCCTCTCTTTCAGTTGTTGGGAATAACTTGAGAAGAATTGGAGTTAGTTCTTCTTTAAATGTCTATTAGAATTCAACAGTGAAGCCATCCAGTCCTGGGCTTTTCTTTTTTGAGAGGGCCTTTATTTCTGATTCAGTCTCCATCTTGGTTATGGGTCTGTTTAGGTTTTCTGTGTCTTCTTGGCTCTATTTAGGTAGGTTGTATGTCCAGGAATCTGTCCATTTCTTGTAGGGTTCCTAATTTGTTATCATACAGCTCTTTGTATTAATTTCTGAAAATTATTTTTATTTCTGTGGTGCCTGTTGTTACATATCATTTTTTTCAGGTAGAGTTAGACAGTGAGAGAGAGACAGAGAGAGAGTTATAGACAGTTACAGAGAGAGA